TCCTACCTCAGTGTGACCAGCACTCAGGACCATTACCTTACCATCGAGGGGAACTTGGACCGAACAGTAGTGACAGGCACCAGGGCTAGTGACCCAGCCCTGGTGGAAGCATAGTCGAACGAACCTCGTTGCACGGGAACTTTGGACGCCAGGCTCAAGCAATCACCTATTAGCCCCTAAGTAGACCGACTAGTAACTTGTGCCCTGTCTTATCATCGAGACACCTATTATTAGTTGCTCGTGACCTCCTCCCAGCCCTATGGTTATGTATGTGTGAATGTCCGGTATTGTAGGTATGTGCCCGCAGGCTATGTGTATGTGTTTTTTTTTTGGTAATGCGTGTGGACCCGTAGCAGACGGTGCTCCCCACCATGGAGCATGTGCGAAGTGAATACCAGTGAGAGGTGCTCTTATCACCTCTACCAGTGTCTGTGGAAGCCATGTATAGGTAGTATGTATAGGAGCCCTAGAAAGACCTTGCCTCGACGCAGCGGAGGGGCGACCCCATGGGCCCTTAATCTGCTGCCAACGAATAGACAGCCCTCCTCCAGAACCCCGATCATCGGTTGAGGCTCCTCCCCCCCCAAAGGACCCCATGCCTACTTGCTCTATCCTCAGTAGAGACCGTCTCCCACCTATCAGCAGAATCTGGTCATCGGCTAGGTACTTCCTATAGGGATCAGAGGGACAGACTACAGACTCAGTAGGTGGTGGGTCATCATCCGTCCTTCCACTAGCCCCCAGCCTCATCCCTCCGATAGCCTATCGTGGTTATACCTGTAGTCAGTATCTTGGGTAGTGTCTAACATGTGTGTGTGTGTGTGTGTGTGTGTGTGTGTGTGTGTGAATCTCGAACCTGTGACCTACAGTATGAAACTGGAACGTTCTACCATATGCATTACCACAGGAAGTGAATAGAATGTGTGAAATATGTAGACTGGGGGAGATCATCAGAGCGACCAAAGCCAACAACGGCAAGCAACGAACGTGAAGAGTCTAGACCAGCATACAACACCCATGAACTGGCCCCCTGGGTGGTGCGCAAGCAGTGTCTGTAATAATACCATGCGTCAGCCCAGGGGAGTATGTGTCCAGCCGTGCGTCATTCTAATGCCCTGCCGGTGTCCATGCAGGAGGCTTTGAACCCGCAACCTCGTACTACAATGCGCATTTCCAACCGGTGCTCTAACCACTGAGCTACATCAACTGGACTCGTCATCTACAATCTACATGTTCAGATAATCAACCACAATGTTAAGGGACGCTGGACCGATTTCCTGCAGGTGCTGCAGTATGAAACTGGAAGGTTCTACCATATGCATTACCACAGGAAGTGAATCGAATGTGTGAAATATGTAGGCTGGGGGAGATCATCAGAGCGACCAAAGCCAACAACAGCAAGCAACCAACGTGAAGTGTAGACCAGCATACAACACCCATGGACTGGCCCCCTGGGTGGTGCGCAGGCAGTGTCTGTAATAATACCATGCGTCAGCCCAGGGGAGTATGTGTCAGCCGTGCGTCATTCTAACGCCCTGCCGGTGTCCATGCGCGAGGCTGCGGAGATTTGAACCCACAACCTCGTACCA